TTATATAAGATGCGTGTAGCCAAATGTTTCGCTTCTCGCACCATTGCCATATTGATCGAGATAACTCATTCAAATGGGGGAATTGGATTCCTCCCATTCGATTGATATAACTTATAGCTGTTGTATTATCTACGCGCAATAAAATATTACAATCCAACTTATCCCTGACAAAACATTTAATATAATGATAATAGAAATATGGCTAGTAACTCTAGGTAATTGATATGATAGTTGAGTTCATTGTATTTCCATCCTCCGCCAACCCGAATATTATTACAACAAGCACCCCAACCTGTCAAGCACGCGTCTGAAAATATCTCATAATTAAATTTAGTTAAACGAAACGAATTTTTGGTTAAAAATACATTTTTTTTCCACCATTGCAAATCTGGTAAGATATCTTTTGAAAGTTGAATATTTTTATTATACGTCTTATATTTTTGAAGCGCAAGGTATTTTTGTCTTTCTAGTCGTTTAGTGTACAACCAGCCATATTTTACCGCAGGACAAGCGGCCGTGAGAACACCTATCAAATGGGCGAAATCTCTGATCGAACAACTAGTTAAGACAGAGAACCTTTGTACTAAGTGAGCTATATGATTTTGTTTATCTATGGGTAGGCTTATAGAAAGTTCCGTGGAATCAAAAATAAATCCCAAATATTTGCGAGATATATTCGGGACTAGACAGGACTTATTATAATTAATAACAAAACCTAAGCATTGTAAAAGATGCATAGTCGCGTTAACATTGTCTAAACATTCATTGTAGTCTTTACCTATACAAAGAATGTCGTCAAGATATATGACAGACTTATATCCCCTGCTTCTTAAGTTGGTTATTACCTCTTTCATTATCTTACTAAATGTTCTAGGAGCAACGGACAGGCCATACGGCATAGCATTGAACTCATATAGGGTTTTAACTAAATTTTCATCCTCAAATTCAAATCTTAAAAATTTGCGATGACTCGACTTAATAGACACTAGTAAGTAAGCCTCCCGTAGGTCAATGGTAGCCATATAACCATTACGAGGTATTAACTTTGAGGCCGTTCTGTAATCCTCCATTTTAAAGTGAGATTTTGCAATGAACTTATTAAGAGACTTTAAATTCAGAATAAATCTTTTGTCTCCGTTAGGTTTTGGTGCTAAGAAAACTGAGGATATGAACTGATTCTTTGATGGATGACACTTTGATATTGCTCCTAAGTGTAATAAATACCTAATAGCTACAGAGATGTATTGTTTATCTTTTGGTGACAAAGTTGAATGAGGTAATCTACACTGAGTAATATGTCTATTAAATGGTATGGTAAATCCATCCCGGATCCATCTTAAAATAATTTTATTTTTTGTTAATTTAAGCCAACAGTCATAAAAATATTGTAATCTCTTTCACTCTCATGAATGACTTTAAAAAAAAGACTTGTCTAATCCGGGTGTCACCAATTTAATTCTGGTTTGGGTCTCAGAGTGACGGAGGTCGGATAATATACGGCAAGCATCAGATAAAATGTTTATCGCCTGAACTTTATTGTCTCCGATAAGAAGTAAAGACATAGCTCTATTAACAGCAGTAATACCTATACCCAGTATTTGCTGATCGACCTCTATTTTCTTGTCCCTATTCGGGCTGCGTCGGTAAGTGCCGCTGCAATCTCGGGATTCAGCGTAGGTGCTCTCAAAAGCTTGCAGTTTTCGGGAATTAAATATTCTTTTAACAAGTTTTGTCTTGTTTCCTTAGTAAGACCCTTACGTAGAAGAGGAAGCCAACGGTGGGCAAGATCCTGGTGAATATTTTCACCGTATATTTGCTCATCAATTTCCGTATCACCCAAAGCTGACAATAGTTCAGGTTCTAATGTAGGAATTGTTTCTTCCGATTTTTCTTCAATTGTCAAAAGAGGATGCTCTTCGGAGGGAATGGATGCTACCATGGTGTCATCATTTACGACCTTATTACTATCCTCAGCTTCGTTATCTACAACAAGAAATAAAATATATATATTTCGGAGGTAGATAACAAAAAATTTTATTGATAAGAATCTAAATGAACAACTTAAAACCTAAAACTGACGCTTTAATATATTTGTACATGAGTATTTAAGTTTATATAACCTTCGTGCTAACTCTCGGCTAGCCCCCCGGTTAGAATACCTTCGTACTGACTCTCGGCCAGTCCCCGGGTAAATTTGTATTCGTGTTAATTCACGATCAACGCTAAGGTTTTTTGTCTTAAATTATATTGTTAATGATCACTCAGGCACTAGAATTGAATTACGTAACTGTAACACTTACCAAAATTTTCTTCGGCCTCAGAAGAATCGGAGTAAACAATGACTCGTTTATGTCGCTTTCGTTCTTGTTCTTCTAGTTTTTTGATTTTCTTTTGATAATAACCAATTTTATCTGCAGCACTGCGTTTCGACATTGTACTGTTCTAAGATAATTAAGTAAGGTGTGCGCTCTGCCTCGCACGAAAAAGGAATGAGGCTGTACGCTCGGACGGCGAGAGACGTTGGTGGGAGGGGGCAATTGTTTTTGATGTGGGTAGAGTAAAAATCTTTAAAGGTGCGACTTAGCCTTGTAGAATAAGGAAACTACGTTGTTAATATTATATCTGAAGAATGAAGCGATGAAATATAATTAACTATCGTTTAATACAAAACAAAACAACATGAGGTGAAAGGTATCGCAAGTAAATTTTGTAATAAATTACGTTAACTTAGATATTATAACTGATGATTGCTAATGATTCTAATTATACATAAACTAGACTATGATAGCCACTTAAGTATGTTTTATCAAAATACACTCTGACTGGTATTGTGTTTTTTTTTATAAACAAAAGTTGGTAATAGGTACTTACATTGATGTTTTAACGTTCCTCAACTAAGCAGAACAAAAATTGGGATTGCATGCAAATAATTTTGCCACCATCAACTTATTTACCCTTGGCAGATCAGTACTTTCTGCTTTTACGAATTAGTCTATACCTTTTCAATAAAATTCGGAATAAAAGTCAATAAACGTAATGATAACTTGTAAAAATTTGAAATAACACAGCACATTAGCTAGTTCTCTTAATCAGTGATACAGAACACTAATATCCTTAGGAGGGATCTGTGACGTCACGACAGGGTCTAATATGGCGAACAACATTTTGCAGATTTGAGGCACAGACAAAAAAAATATTCTTAAAGTTGAAATATAAACTTTACAATGCAATTTCATAAATAGAAATCAATATTTCTCGTTTACTATTTACAAAATCTATCATATATATATTTTTTTTTTTTTTTTTTTCTTTTACATGGTGTAAAATACCCTATTCAAAGCTATGAAAACCCAAGCTGATTATTTTTGTAATTGAACTGTTGAAAAATTTTATCCAATATACTTAAAAGAGGTCTCATAAATCCCCAAGTTCAGTCAATAAAGCTATCACATATTTAAATTAAAGAACAATCAAGTGAGTGTTGATAGTCTTCAATTCAGCGTTGTTTCTAAAATGCTGAACAGCTTGGTGAATAGTACAGAAATTTTACATAAAAATGAACTAATATTACACGAATGCTTAAAAAGAATTGAACGAATAGTAAATATATGGCTACCAAAGAAAATAATTCAACTTATAATTCATATATTTTAGGCATATATAATATGTTTATTAGTAACTTTCGTAGTATTTACCTTAAACTTATTGAAATGGAAACCGCTTTAGCTTTAAGTTTCAGTATTATTAATTAATTATTAATGAAACTAATTGATTAATTATTTTCAATGCTCTTTGAAAAAAATAATTGATTACTAGAAAGTAAGATTCCTCTTCATGACTAAAGATGAAAAAATAATTTCCACGTAATAGGTTCTTAATTGGGTGCTAAGTTTGGTTCAGAAATTAAATATCTTTTGGGATAAGAAGATACCGAAACAACATGTTACAAAAGCCCTGTCGCTCCCATTATGCGTAATCGGTATTCGAGCGTACAGAAAAAACTTTACATCAGAAAACTCGACCAACAAAAAATTAAATTTAAATAATTTTTTTCTTGCAAACTGTATATAGTTTTTTTACCTCTGCAATGGTCGAGGAGTATTTACCGATGAGCGTCACAGGTAATAAAATTGCATATAAAATTTTATATTAATTTAATTTTTTCATGGTTGAGTTTTCAAAACTGAAGTTATATCTATACGTTAGAATGCTGATTCTGAAAACCCATTTAACGAGATTCAGAGGGTTTTTCTTTACATGTTGTGTAATGTAAATCTGTCTGGTCCACGTTAAATTACTTTGGCTACATTCGGAGGACAGATCGTTATAGACAGCAGACGGGCGGGCGCCATGGAGGCGGCGGAGGATGGAAAGGAGGTGAGAGATGACATTGCCGAAACATCCAAAACATTGATGTTGATATCGATGTTAAAATCAATTCAAAAGTATCGATGTAAAACGAATATCGAAAGGAATGTATCGATGTCCGAAAATATAAATGTTGGTGGCAAAAATATTTTATTTTTTAAATATATTTATTACGGTAAATATAAAAAATTGCAACCCCAGTACTTTTTGGGTACACTTTGGGAAAAGTAACTTTGTATGAAGTTTTCTCTTTAATCTGTTAATTTGTTGATGATGACACAGATGTTGACAAGTCGCTGTGCAGTACAAATGTTTAATGGCTACTATTTTCAAGTTTGTATAGGTGGATCCTAAGACCTGCCGTAAAAGTAATGAATCCTACACAAGAGATACTAGCCAAGAGTATATACGATATTATTCGCGTGACATAGATAAATGTTTTCGAGGACCCAACATCGATGTTTCCGAGAACCTAACATTCATATTGTCGAAGACTACATCGACGTGTTCTTGCTAAACATCGATGTTTATCTAGCATCGCTGAATATCGACCATCATTAGTGCGGCGGCGCGGTGCTATCGAGCGGTGCGAGCGTGCTGCGGCGGCGGCGGCGGCAGTCCGCGGCCGCAGCATGGACGCGCCGCACGAGCCCGCGCCCGGGCCCGCGCCCGCCCCCGCCCCCGCGCCGCACCCCGCCGTGCGCCCGCTCGTGCGCCCCGACGAGACCGGCGAGGTCGACACCTCCAGGTCCGTGCCTCCACATCTCGTACACCATCTCTTTCTAAGCGCTTTCTAATATAGTAATATACGCGATAAAATATGAATAATTTAATTTCATTTAAACGTGTAGGGTTCCGTGAACTTAAGAAATCATTATGTAAACACTTACTGTTAATGCCCAAAAAGTAGATCAATCATGTGAACAGGATCTTTTGTTAGAAAATACATGACTCTTACTTTTGTATGTATCGCTGGAGTCGACTATTTTCTTTCGATTTTAACGATGACGAGAAGTTAAAGCTGTTAGAAGTTAGTTAACTAATCTAAGATTATTTAAGCTAATTAATGTTTCAAATCTCTAATATACTGGATTTCCGCAAAGTAACGCCCGATTTTATTAATTATCATACCTAGAAGATTATCAGACGCTTAGATTGTAAGAATGAATTCAAACACAACAAACATCTATTAACTAAACTTATTACGGACATCCGGACATGATCGACAATTGGCCTTGAAAATATTATTGTGTAGATATTAGAGAGAAAGGACTATGTCAACCAGGGGAATGTTCATCAAAAGGCTTCCTATGAACTAGACTTCTCTTTGAAGACCATTATCACTGTTAGGGCTATATTACTTATTTCAAGAAAAATGGGGTTTCTTTTTCATTATTTCATCGTCATACTACAACATATCGTAAGAGCCAAAATTTTAAATTTATGTTTTTCTCCACTACCACCCGTGACCTCATTTCAGGCTGCTTGACCCTGACCTATAAAATATATCAATTTTGACAACTTTAGATTCCCAGTGTTGACCATGTTTTATATGTAGTGTTAGGGTAAAATTAAACAAGAATAACGTATTGTTTACCTAAAAATTACGTGTTTGCTTGCATCAACTTGTTAAATAGTGAATAACAGCAAAATCGTCATCATTTTTGTGCAAATAATGTAATTTTCTAATTCTTGTATAAATTTAAGTTTTTAGCAGCCTGTCTTTTGCTCAGTGATTGATTCCCCTTTACGTAAATTCAACGTATTGATTTCCTTGCGTCTGTTTGTGTGAAACAATCAGATGCGACGCCGCCACACGCTCGCAACATTTATGAAATATACCACTGACATTATATTAAGTAAACCTCATGCATGCTCTTTGAGGAATTACTAAACATGTAAAAACAAATAAGTTGGTGTGTTGGCACCACTTGCTACATATTTTACTCTACATTCTAATATAGAAACATTTTATTTGATTAAAAACCTGATGCCGCAAGTTCGATTGCATTGTTGGTTTTCATATTTTTCATGCGTAGCAATATTTTCATTTTAGGGCTTAAGTTTAAGAAAACAATTTATGTGCAAGGCTCAACAAGAACATTAGTTATTTAGTTAAGTTCTTTCTGTTACTTGTTGTGTACAACAAATAACAGAAAGAACTTGACGTGTGTTGGCTACAAGCTGAAACAATCATTTATAAGAGGATAATGTTTTTTTTTTAATTCGTAATTTGTAAATTATTGATGATGATAAGCAGTATATCGTCAACGGAGCTTTTGCGTAATGCAACTTTTGACCAATTATTGCACGGCTCTGTTTTCTATGTAACTACCAAGCGAGTTACAGATTCTGAGTTGACAATTTAACCGGCATCGGTCAATCTGGCCGATGGGAAACTCTCGGGCATAGTAATAAACATTGGGAAAATTTTCTTTAATATATTTTTGGATCGTGATAACTCATGACTGGCACTCACTTTAAAATATAATTTTAAATTCTGATTTGCACATGCAGTGAAAAGTTTAATAAAACGTTCAAACATTTGAAAAGCCAACTATATTTCAAAACTAAACAAGTGTATTTCGGACATAAACAAGCTAACTTCGATATCAAGTTGGATTAGGCACTAAAGCGAATACAAGTTACAACTGACGTGCTAAAGTTAAACTGACTTAGAACCAACCTTTAATGCACTAGATGTAAGCCCTCATATTTTCATTACAGCTTACTGAGTGTCGCTCAATAACAGCTTTATCGAGCTAGCACTAAAAACTCAAGGGAAATCAATGAAAATTGCGCGGTAATTTGTAGTTATATAGTTGGTAAATAGTTGCCGAAAAACCAATTTTAAAACTCAAACCAGTTTAAAAAAAAAAACAAATATGTGCTACATTTAGTAAACTACATATAGAGCCGAGGTAACAGAGGCTAAGCGCTCGCTGCAAGTTTCACAGCGCGAGCAACCCGGATTCGATCCCCGCCAACAACAAGAAAATTGTTAATTGCAATTTTAAGTGCTGATTTATCACTTGCTCGCCGGTGAAGGAAAACATCGAGAGGAAACCTGCAAGTCTGAGAAATAAAAAATATTTTGAAGACGTAAAGTTCGCCAACACACATTGAGGCTGCGCCACGGACATTTCCTTGTCCTAAAACCTTCTCAGAAAAGGGCAGAGGGCTCTACCCAGCAATGGAACGTATAAATACGTAGGCTGTAACTTTAACTTATATGTCAAGCTGGCAGTAAACTATATAAAATCAATTACAACCAAAAATTATAAATGAAAGCTAAACTGTGTAGATGCTACCATTGCACACAGTTTTATAGGCAATGTACTCACAGATGCTGACGTCAGAGATTCTCAGAGAGTAACTTCTGACAAGTAACGAAATCTATGTCTTCATAGATCATCATGGTTATTACAGATCTTTATAACAGAATTTGTATAAATGATTGTTAATTTAATGTAAAGTCGTTTTAATTTGGCAGAATGTGTTTCCTGCGCCGTAAGTTAACGTTTTAAATCAACGCTTGCAACGCTACACATCTGGGCTGCAAGTGGAGTACAGGTTCTTAACAGCTGCCTATAAACATAGGAACACGTCAGTAGTAGATATAGGCGTGTGCATAAAGCAGAGGAATATGTTTATATGACTCAACATCGCCTGAATATCCTTGTTCGTTTTTACAAACAAGTCTAAACAACAAACAATTACTCGACTTCACCGAGTCAGTGGTTCATGCTTGGGGCGATGTATACGCTTTTACAACAAAAGTACAAAAAATATACCAAATTTGACCTGCTCAAAGTTTAAGAACTTTATTAAACTAAGTTTCTATATGAAGGGTTATTAGAATATTAAGTAATTTATGGATGATAATAACCCTGGTAAAGGTTATCGTTACCAAGCTATTTCTAATTTATTTTATTTTGTTAATTGTATAACGTATATGATTGTAAGCTGTTATTTTTTAAAGTTCCGCTGGGAATCCGGCTGATTCTTATTAGGTCAGAGGTTTTTTCCGAACCAGTGGTAAATTTAAAAAATGAGTCTTTCGATTAGTATTATTTATAATCTATGTTGAATAAAAAGTTTCTGTTTCATTTTTCATCATATTTTTTTTAAATATCAAAACTGCCTTTTAAACATAATTTCGCGTTGACGACCATACATTATAAAATTATAATCTACATAAGCTGTGTTACAGCCATCGGCATCTTCCAGCCCGAGTAGTACAAAAAAAACATGTTACACATTACACCCTATTGAAAGTCCACTACTGAGCGTAAGCCTCCCCCATAGGGGGGATATTTACTATAGTTGCCATGCTTGGCAATTTGAATGGAACCGCAGTTTTTTTCATCCAGCTGTTATCAAGACGATGCTGCCGTCCATCTCCTGGTTCAGTTTTCCTGCGCCGCGGGATGATGTGGGCTAGTGGATGTTCTTACAGCGCCACTACACGGAATCGAAAAATGTAAAATATTTGTATATGTCAACGTCGAGGCACCAATTAAAATAAAATAAAATTGTCCGACAGATATCCAGCACCCAAGGATGCTACGCACAAAGTCCGTGGGCGCAGCGACGTGCTGGAGCTGATGTGCGGTCCCGGCGCTGTCGACCCAGAGCTACTCACCGTCAAGACCTTCTATTTCTTTTTCTATTCGGCATTTGGTTCGCTGTTCCCACTGATGGGTGTGTACTTTAAACAGATGGGCATGAATGCCGGCCAGTGTGGACTTCTGATTGGCACACGACCCTTCGTAGAGTTCTTATCCGCGCCTTTCTGGGGTGGACTGGCCGATCGCTGGCAAAAAGGCCGCACGCTACTCTTGGCGTCTCTAGGCGCCTGGATAATCTTTACACTGCCTCTTAGCTGGGTGCAACCCAGCGCTGTGGCTTGTGTTCATCCAGTGAACAAGACGGCTTATCGTCTCGAAACGCCCAGCTATGAAGACGACTGGATCAAGAACGAATGGCGGTCGTTCCATAGACCAGCTGCCTCGTCGCATGTTGGATCACCTCTGCCTGTCGACGATGCAATCGATTACGATCCCGATACGAATAGCAATTGGGTCACACCGCTACATTCTTTTATCGTGTACAGCACACCAGATATTCAGAAGACATTTTTTCTTATTCTGTTGCTCGTAGTGATTGGCGAGTTCTTCAGTGCTCCTGCGATTACGCTTGCTGATTCCGCTGTGATCACTCTACTGGGAGAAGACGCTGACAGGTTAGTTTTCTTTAAAACAATAGTAAAAAATTTAATATAATCACTATTTTAATTACGTAAATAATTGACTAATGCAGGTACGGACATCAGCGGATGTTTGGCTCGTTGGGCTGGGGCTTAGCAATGTTTTTCTTGGGCATTGCTTTGGATCACAGCACAGCGTTCAGCAAACACCCGTGCGGCGGGCCGCATCGCTACGAGAAGAACTACACCATTTGCTTCGCAACCTTCTCTGTGTTGATGGGCGCTGCTCTCATCACAGCTACTCAGGTATTTAAACTCTTTCTGTATTTAAATATTACGTGGTAATATACATTATTTAGGGAATATGGAAACATTTCCACCAAAAGTAAATGTTACTTGCACGACGTAAGCCTTATTGAGTAATGAACAAATCTATGATCGACGACTTACCGTAAAGTCCTAAAAATTCTGTATTGTCTTCTTATGTAGTATTTTCTTCTCTAGTGCTAAATTTTTACGTCATTTTTTCATCAAAAGGTAAATCAAAAATTTCCAAAAATTTTTACTTACAAAAAATAAGCATTTACGTTTCTTAAAGGCTCAAAATTCAATGTAGTCAGTATCAAACGTTTAACAGAATAAGATTTATGTTTTCATTACTATCGGTTTAAAGAAGTACACATTATTATAAATTATTTTTGATCTAATATTATTGCAGTGAAACTTCTTTATTGATATATTGGAGAAATTTATTACGGTATTAAAAAACGTTACGTTTTCTTGTAACGTTTCCCCGCCGGACTGCATGAGTATAGTATTATTTAACCTACTTATGTGAAAGATGAAATAAAAGAAGAATGATATGTCATAAAAAGTTTAACTTCGTACGCGTGTACACAACTTCGATCAACAATTTATTGATCGAAGGTACACAATTACACGCACAATTTTTTTCTTATTACATAGTGGTGATTAAACAATTTTTTATTTTATTTTATTTTATTTTTTGTTCCCCGAACAATAGTAGTTACAGAGAGAGTAAGGGTATCCTTTACCTGAAACGAACTGTGAGCAATGCAGTTGATTAGAATATAATAAGAGAATAATGCATCACACACAGCATCTCTCTGTTACTATTCAATCAAACTATTTTGAAATATGTTACTTGAGAGAGTTTGGTCATACAATATTAAACCTATCCTACTACTATATTTTTTTAATTAAAATCCTACTACTAACTTCAATTCCGGTATACAACAACGTTTTCAAAGAATTTTCAGGTTAAACGTACACAAGAATAACACTTCCTTTATCAACTTTGTTGTTAAAATGTGCCGTGATTACGACGAGATTAAGCGTAGTAATGTACACCTATTCGATACATATATTCGACATCTATAGATATATTCGATAGTAGCCTGGTAGATTTAAAAGAAATTCACGTGTTTCTCTTAACATTTAATGAATTTGTTATCTGTTTTATTTTTGCTAAGACTAAGATTATACTGTAGTTATATTATTATAACTCTGTACACTTTTTTGGATTGTAGTATATACTTTTAATTTTAGACCTTTATATAACTACTGTCGGTTTATAATTCAATAAAATAAAAAATAAAATAACCATCTCCTATAAGTTGAATTTCGGACGGATTGTTTCGTAATCGCTAAAATATTAAACAATGTGAAACGCTTACTTGCAAAATGCGTTCCGTTACCACCCCCTCCAATATTCAGTGATCACATTAAGCAATTTTTTAGGTTTTATTCTCTAACTCTGCAACTTCACAAAGTATACTACTTGCTTTGAATACACATTTTAATTGCATATTTGTCAGTGTGCCAAATAAATGAACGCTCTTATTCCAAGAACTTAATCATAAAATTCCTAATCTGTAATACCTCAAGAGCTAAAGCTTTTGTCTTTTATTTTATAGCAGCCTATTGTAATTATTATCTCCAACAACATAAAGTGACCTATGCGTTTCACGTGATGCTGCGGCGTGCCGCGGACAATTCCTTGCCCTAAAACCCTCTCAGAAATGAGCGGAGGCCTGTGCCCAGCAGTGGGACGTATATAGGCTGTAACTTTACTTTACTTTTTGCGGCGTGCCGCGGCATCCCGTGGAATGCCGTGATTTGCAGCAGTATACCGCGGTGTCACGCGAGACGTTTCGGTCTATTCGTATTGAAAAAAAGAAATGTCAATGGTAAGATCATTAAAATAACGTAGAAAGGTTTTTTTGCACCAAAAAAATCCTTTGACACGCCGTGCCATGCCGTGCCGTCTGTAAGCGCAGGGCCTAACCTAAAGGTGGCTTGTGCACGTAAATATATTGATGACATATTTAGGTTTCTAGTCGTCCTACAACCTTCCTTTTTTACTTTAGATAAGATTCAAGTATGAGGAGCTGCCACCGGAGCCTGTAGTGATTGCAGCGCCGACTTCGCCCACACAAGAGGAGAAGTTGCAGCAGCAACTGGCGGAGCAGCTGCAGTTGCCCGGCCTGGACACGAGTGCTCCGGCACGCGCGCCGACTCTAGAACATGCCAAAGTAATGTCGCAGTCACATCTGTAAAATTTAAATTTAAATCGCACCTCAAAACTTTACACTTCTGCGTTGAGTAAAAAATCAAAGAAACAAGGTTAACAACGATCAATTTACAACAGATCTTGTCTCGTGTTACAAGCTTTTTGTGCAACGCGTGTTTGTGGGAACAAAAGAAAAAAATGGTTCCTCGATAAAATTGTATTTATTTATTTTTATTTCTATCCTTGTGATATGTTGTGCAGGTGTTCGCGCAGACCACGCGCGAGATGCCGGAGTGGGTCACGGTGCTGCGCCAGTTCCAGAACGTGAAAGCTATTTCTTTCCTACTCGTAGCCTGGTTTATGGGCTTCGGTATCGGGCTCATCTTCACTTTTCTCTTCTGGCATCTACAGGTGCTTATCATAAATCTTGTCTGTTTAACTTCATTGTCTGATAAAAGTGTATTACAAGTTTATTACATAATTTGATATTATCCTTACAGGACAAAGGCGGATCTCCAACATTGTTCGGGGTCGCTTCCGTCATCAACCACATTTCGGAGATCTTTGCCTATTTCTTCAGCTTTAAATTGATAACCCAAATGGGACATGTCAAGGTGAAAAAATATTAGACTCAAAAACACATATCTCTCCTAGATTAAGAATCAAAATTCAATCGCGCTGGCATCCCTGAGTACTTAAATAGAATGCCTTGTCACCTATAAAAAGGTCTCTAGTTCTCTATACTACGAAACCCAGTAGTATTAAGTGCTCTTTCACACTGGTATTCTGTGAGGGCGTGGTCCTACCTCGGTCGAGCTGACTCGGCGATGCAGCGTGGCTCTACCACATATTAAAACTACATTAATGCATAAATTACAGCCTATATACGTCCCACTGCTGGGAACAGGCCTCCTCTCGTTTCTTTTTAATCTCTTTTTTTTCATTTTAATTTCTCAGACATGTTTCCTCACAATGTTTTCCTTCAATGTGGAGGAAGTGGTAAAACAGCATTTAACCCTCTGCTACTGACGTAACGTACGTCAGACACCGCAAATTTATATGTCTGTCTCATTCCGTCATTTCGCGACATAATCCTGTCTCGCTCAGTACCTTCCTCTGAGAGCGCCACCTACGCGTTAGTGCGGGGACAGACGACGGCATTCGCAGTGTGCGCAAGTAGCTAGTTGGAGCTATCAGGTGTCTACAGGACGTAAGGTCAGTAATAAGTGATGGATCTATCATACGTATTGTCAGTAAAATATTTATAATACCCTACTGTCTTACAAACGTCACATCAGTAAAATAGTTATGTTTAAAGTATCTGTCGTTCATCATCTTAGCAATAAGTTCTTACAGGAAAATTATTTGAACAAGCACTTGAACAGTGGTTAGAAGAAGATAATGAGCACGAGTTTAGTGATGTAGACGACGAAGTAGCTGATAAAAATTTTACAATTGAAGAAGAAGAACATGTTGAGAGTGAGATTTCAGAAGTCGAAGAAATAGAAATTGTAACATCGAGTGAAGGGACAAATCGTTCTACAAATACGCCTGACTAGAACCGCAATTGTTATCGAGGTAAAAATGGTTTTATTTGGTCAGTTAGTGACTTTTTAAGGACATCGCGAACACTAGCTCGTAACACTGTGTCTTTACTTAAACAAAACCCTGATCATACGAGATTTCTCGGTTACGAAGCACTCTGGCTGAAGCTTTTTATGACAATATGATAGAAACAATAGTTTCCTGTATAAATAAAAAACTTGAAGTTTACCGCCGCCAGTTCTCTAATTATTCGAAACACGAGCTGAGAGATACAAGTGCTGTAGAAATTCGATCTTTACTTGGATTAATAAACTATTCCTCAGTATTCAAATGTAACGATGCTGATTCAAACTATTTGTTTGCGACTGATGGAACAGGTCATGAAATATTTAGATGTGTCATGTCTAAATATACATTCAACACACTTTTGAATTGCTTGAGGCTGGACAATATTGATGGCCGACAGGAGCGCTTAGAAACTGACTCTCTTGCTGCTGTTTCTGGATTTTTTCTGGATCACACACCTGGTCCATACACCTGCATTGACGAAAAGCTATTAGCCTTCAAAGGTCGCTGCAAATTTGTCATCTACATGCCAAAAAAACTCGCTAAATATGGGATCAAGATAATGGTCTTGAGCGACGCCCGGAAATCCTCGTACATAACGCGTACGTTTACCACAGCAAGGGTTCTGATGGTATAGTATCTCCCGGAGGCTGAGAAAAAGCTTTCTGTCTCTACACAGTCTGTGTTGCGACTTATAAAACCCATTGAAAATACCAATCGTAATGTGACAGCGGACAATTGGTTCAGCTCAATACCTCTGGCAGTAATGCTATTGAAAAAAGGACTGACATATTTGGGAACATTAAAAAAGAACATACGAGAAATATCTCCAGAGTTTATGCCAAGTAAAAACAGAGCTGTTCAAAGTTCTCTTTATGGTTTTACAAAAGACCTCACTTTGTTGTCTTTTGTCCCAAAAAAAGATAAAGCCGTCATACTAATTTCTAGCTGTCACCATAGTACTAGTACGGACACAGAAACTAGAAAAACGACCATAACAGTCGATTATAATCACACAAAAGACAGGGTCGACGAAATCGATAAAAAATGTGCGATATATTCTGCAGTCGTAAAACGAGACGTTGGCTACAAGCTATATTTTATCGAGTACTAGATATTGCTGGCATCAATGCATATAGTCTTCTTATGAGCCTAGTACATCATCACGAAAATTATGTCGCATCTGCCCAAGTAAATTGAAGCGACAAACAAGATTTGTTTGTTGTATATGTGCGAAACATATTTGTTTGCAGTACTCCTCGCAAATTTGTGTTGACTGCAAGACTGAACTTTGAGACTGATTAAAAAAATCACTGTAAGGATTTTTATAATTTAAGTGTTTTTTTTTTTTGTTTTTTGAAGCTTGAAGAAGGCAACGTTATGTTTTTTTTTGTTATTTCTTTTAATTTTATTCTTTTTCTTGATTGTCAAAGTTCCTAATTACAAATGTTCCTTAATTCATAAGGTTCCGGTAATAAATAATATTTTCTTAAAACAATGGTTTTATTGGTCTGTTTTTACAATGGCTTAAGAAATATAATGTAAAATTTGCTAAATTCAGTTTTATTTTCAATAACTAACAATAAAATTTGAAAAATCCTTACCTAAAGTATACGTCCGACAGGCTACTCCTCAGTAGAATAATTACAAGAAAGGCACCTCAGTAGCAGAGGGTTAAAATTGCAATCAACAATGTAAATTACAATCATTAAACTCACTATTCCGATGATATCCCGAACTTCAGTATGAACAAGATTAGGATGGCTCTCCAGCACCTTAAAAACGGCATGTCCGCGATCAAGGATGGAATTACAGCGGGAGCTGTGAAAGCTGGTGGAAAACCGGTACTTGAAGTCCTTCAGAAGCTCTTTAATTCCGTCTTCCATGGTGGCACTACACCGGAGTTATGCAGCAGAAGTACGGTGAAAAAAAAACTTGTTCTTAAAGAAAAGCGACAACGCTCTCTTCAAGAACTACAGACCGATTTCCCTTCTGAGCTCCGTCACCGTGCTGTTATCGAGAGTCCTTACGAATAGTCTCGAGCGGAGACTCGATGAGTTCTAGCCTCCCAAACAAGCCGGTTTCCGAAAATTTAGCTTTTGCTTTAGCACCACAGAAATATCGGTCCTTCCTTCCTTTGATTCCGTTGAAATTTGGGCGATGCTGCAGTCCCCTCAGTGGTGCCAAGTTGACTGTCGGCATATCGAAGTACTGAAGTGTTTGTACAGTAGTGCTTCGATGGTTATCCGAGTACAGAACCAGACTACAAAACCTATCCAACTGCAGAGAGGTGTAAGATATGGTGACCTAATATCTCCGAAACTCTTCACCGCTGCAATGAAAGACGTTTTCAAGCTACTGGACTAGAAATGGTACAGTATTAACGTCAATGGCGAGTATATCACTTACCTTCGATTTGCCTACAATATAGTCCTTATGGCAGAATCGCTAGAAGACCTAAGGTCTATGCTTAATGATGTCAATAGTGTCTCCCAACGGATAGGTCTTAAGATGAATATGGTAAAAACAAGTAATGGGTAATGTCCATGTCACACCTATGCCGGTGGTTATTGACGAGTATATTTACCCGGGACAAATAGTCTGACTAGGTGTGTCCAACTTCGACCAAGAGGTCAATCAACGAATACAACTCGACTGGGAAGCGTTTGGGAGATTACGATACCTCAAAACCTCAAAACTAGATCGTACAACGTGAACAACGTGACCTATTTATCTGAGGCGTGGCCCTTCACTGCTGGCCGTATGACGAAGCTCAAAGTTGCTCAGCGACCTATGAAGATGGCTATGCTCGGGGTTTCTCTGCGTGTTAAACTTAGGAATGAGGATATCCGCAGTAGAACCAGAGTGACCAACGTAGCCCAACGGATTAGTAATTTGAAGTGACAATGGGCCGGCCATATAGCTTGAAGAACCGACAGCCGATGCGGAAGAAAAGTTCTCGAGTGGCAGCCTCGTACCGGCAGGCGAAGTGTAGGGCGTTATTCTACTAGATGGAGTGAATACCTAGTAAGTCATGCAGAAAGTCATTGGATGCAGGCTGGCTCAGGACCGTGCTTTGTGGCATTCCCAGGGGGAGGCCTATGCTCAGCAGTGGTCTTGTGAAGGACTGTAATGATGATGATGATGATGAATTTCATTTGTGCAAACGTGGATCTAATCACGGTTGCGGTTCACGTACCTGAGCTACCACGACTCATAAAACGAATTAATTAGTAATGGCATGATGAAAATATAAAATGTTTTGAAATTATTAATAGTTAGGTATATTATAATTACCATTAAAAATGTCAATATTCTTTAAAAGTTGTACAAATTATTATAGTCGAAATCGGACGTAGATTTAATTTTTGATCTCTACCGCGCATCTGAATTCTGAATTTGAAACTATAGATTCATCTCCCTTTGTTCTTTAAAGAAAAGATTTTAAAGAGTTACAGGCGTTAAATACAAACAAGGGTATGGGGCCCGATAATATATCACCAGTATTTCTGAAAAATACAGCAGTTAATATTGCTAAACCGCTGTGTTTCCTTTTTAATAAATGTTTAAGTGAAGGTATATGTCCTAACATATGGAAAGCCGCTAGAATCGTGCCTGTATATAAGTGTGGTTCAAAATGAAATGTTGAGAACTACCGTCCTATTTCTATTTTATCAGCTGTGTCGAAGCTCTTCGAACGATTAATTTTTAATTCTATATATCCATCACTGCATAATTTAATCATACCCGAACAACACGGTTTTGTAAGACGACGATCAACTACTACCAATTTATTAATATATCTAACGGACTTATTCGAAAATTTAGACTCAAATCATCAAACTGACTGTATTTATACAGACTTTCGTAAAGCTTTCGACAGAGTTGATCACAAAATCCTACTTGATAAAATTGCTTTCAACAGTATACGTGGCAATCTTTGGCGGTGGTTTAAATCATACGTAACTAACCGCACGCAAAAGGTTGTTATTAATGGTTACGAATCAGAGTCTGTGTCTATCACCTCCGGGGTACCTCAAGGATCTATATTGGGACCACTATTATTTATACTTTTTATTAATGATATTGACTCCTGTTTTCAGCACAGTAACTTTTTACTATATGCTGACGACCTTAAAATTTATCGTACCATTTGTGACAATGATGATCACCTCAGACTCCAGGATGACTTGGACCGCTTTTCTGCTTATTGTATAAAAAATAAATTAAGTCTTAGTATTAATAAGTGCAAAATGTTAACTGTCACTAAGAAAATTTATGTTAATCAACAATCATATTCCCTGTGCAGCTCTACTATTGAAAAAGTACATTCTATTTGTGACCTCGGCATTACCATTGACAGTAAATTAACACTCGATACACATGTTGAACAAATATGTAATAAAGCTCTTAAAATATTTGGGTTTGTAATGAGAGCCTGTAAGGATTTCACAAACCCAGCAACATATATCCTTTTGTATAAGGCACTGATACGCTCTCAGTTGGAATACGCTGTTGCTTTGTGGAATCCTTTTTATAATGTCTATACCGATCAGATTGAGAGGGTACAAAAAAAAGTTTTTTAAGTCAATGTTCTATAGATGTAAGCATAAATATTGTTCGTATAATGCTATTTTAAATAAATACAAAATGTTAACTTTAAAGCTCAGACGACAACAATTAGTAGCAATGTTATTATTTGACCTTTGCCATAATAGATATGATTGCATCCCTGTAACAAATAAATTGCGATATTGTGTACCTACTCGATCACGTGTAAGATCAACATACTCCCGTCAAACATTTGCCCTTCCCTTGTGTAGAACCAATGCTGGCAAAAGAGCGCCGTTGTATCGCTTAATGCAAAATTATAATGATCACTTTTGGGACATTGACATTTTTAATAACAGTGCTAATTCCTATAGAAGCAAAGTGATTAATAAGCTTATGAGTCGTGATAACTAAAAACTAAATAAAATAAATTAAAACATAATTTAAATTATATAATTTTTCTGAAATCAAAACTAAAATGTGAACAGTTTTTTTTTTTCATTTTGTAATATTGTATTTTATGTAGTAAGTCCTCCTTCACATCTCTCACTTTTGTAGTTTATTCTATAAATCATTATCTGAGGCTGGTGGTGTTGGCTTCACTAAACTCAAATTTTAGGATTAAGACTGTAGTTATTAAGCCTCTGTTGAAGCTGTTTACTGGTCCTTAAATAAACTAAAAAAAAAATTTTATCTTTACATTATTCTTCGTCTCGAGTGTCGCTACTGTCGTCACGGTGTGCAGGTGCTGTGCCTGGGCCTAGCGGGTAACGTGCTGCGCTTCCTGTACATCGCGTGGCTGCCGGACCCGTGGTGGGTGCTGCCGTTCGAGTTCGTGCAGGGCGTGACGCACGCGGCCGTGTGGGCGGCATGCTGCTCGTACATCGCGCACAGCGCGCCGCCCGGTCTGCGCTCGTCGGCGCAGGGCGTGCTGCAGGGCCTGCACCACGGGCTGGGCCGCGGCTGCGGTGCCGTGCTCGGCGGCATCGCCGTCGCCCGCTGGGGCACCACACGCACCTTCGCAGGTGCCTAACACTTTTACCAATATAAAAAGCAAACGAAAATGCGCAGTAATAAGCTAAAGTTACAATGGACCGGCCATATAGCTCGAAGAACCGAAAACCGATGCGGAAAAACGGTTCTTAAATAACAGCTTCGTACCGGTAAGCGAGGTGACATGCAGGAAGTCGATGGATTCAGGTGGCTCGGGACCGTGCTTCGTGATATTCCTTGTGGGAGACCCAGGTTCAACAGTGGGCTTGTGGAGGGCTGTAATAAATGAATGACTGAAAACGAACATGCGGCTAAACTAATGGTAAGTGACCACCACCGCCTATGATCAACTGCAACACCGGGGGAATTGTAGACGGTATAAAAAAGAGTAGGCTCTTTTCTTGAAGGTCCCTTAGTCGTATCGGAAAAATTGCTCACAGTAGTCGATTCCACAAGGAAGAAAACATGGTATGAATGGTACCGGGAGTGTTGTCGCGATGTGCGACGTTGAAATTTTGTGGCTGAGCACCCTCCGTGGAAGATGCTGTAGAATATTCAAAGAGCCAATGAGTCAGAAAGAACACGATTCGAGAACACGAGCTCGAATCGAGATAACGATTCGAGAACACGAGCTCGAATCGAGATAACGATTCGAGAACACGAACTCGAATCGAGATAACGATTCGAGCCAGTCTACGCTGGATGCGATCAAGTGGAAGGAGCTGGTACTGATGTACCAGCTCTTTTTACTTGGTAAACTTTAGACACTTGGATAAGATATTTTTATATTTATATTATATATTCAGGAAAAATTCGAATGATCGACTAATGATAAAAGAGCCATTCATAGAAGCGAGAATAATGGTTCTGTATTCACAAAATCAGTTAATTCCAGTGTGGACAGCATGAAAAACATTGTGAAGAAATGAGTTATTGAATAATTAATAAGCTCAAACAGAAAAAATCAAAATCTCTCCAACTTTTAATAGATTGTTGGGCACAGGCCTCCCCTCATTACTGAGAGGGTTTTAGGGCAAGGAAGTGTCCGCCGTACTGCCCCAGTGCGTGTTGGCGAAAATCACATGACTTCAAAATATGTTTTTTTTATTGTTTCTTAGACATGCATATTTCCTCACGATGTTTCCCTTCATTGCCTAGCAAGTAGTAAGTCAGCACTCAAAATTACAATTAACAATTTCATTTGCCGACCGGGATCGAACTCGTTGTTCGCGTACTGTGAAGTATACAGTGATCGCTATCACACACCTCGGGAGAAGCCAGTTAACCAAGCTGGGTAAAATAAGTTGGTTCCTCTCAGCACGTCCCCAGCGCGACGCTGCACTATTATAGGTACATACATTACCGATTGTTTAGTATAGTAATTAATAATGATCTCTAGAACAAATTTCGGTCGCGGCGGCCAGTAAGCCATCTGCGCATGGATTATAGTGCCCAAGTGTACGCGCAAGCACACGTGCACTCTCTGTTCACTCACTCGTATATTCCAATGGAATGGTAATCTGCTACGATCAGAGAGAGATCAGGCGCAGGACCACCTTTACACGCTTTCCTAAGGCACGGGGTTGTAAAATCGACAATTTTCCGACTTCGACTTGTTACTGAGAATGTTTTGTCAGTAAATCCAAAAAATTGATTTTGATTTTAAACGTGGTAGAGCCTTGCTGCTTTCATATTATGGCTATATTGTGGCTGTAGCACGAATGGGTCGGCTCGACCGGCGTAAGACCACGTTCTCACAGAATACCAGCATCAAATAGCAGCTTATTGTTGCCGTGTTTCGTATGGTGTGTGAAGTACTGGAAAACTTTTTACTGGTAATGAGGTATTTCACCCTAGTTACGGGTGACAACGCATCTGAATTTTGATTCTTAACCGAGGGTAGATGTAGGCCGAGGGACGAAGCATCCACTTACCATTGTGGATTTTGTGCTCTCTTATAACCCCTGTTGTCAATGGAGCTATGGGGCAGGGTACGGACTGCTGTGTGGAGTGGCGCTGGCGGCGTTCGCATTCGTGAACTTCCGCGGCGGCGCAGAGGCGGGCGAGGCGGCGGGCGAGGAGTGCGCGCTGGCGGACGCGGGCGTTCTGGCGCCGCACGGCGTGCCGTCCAACCCGCTGCCGCGCGCGCTCTCCTCCACGCGCCTCGCCGACCTCGCGCACCACGACTCATATGGTGCCACGCAAGTGAGACACTTCACTAATTCCCATCTGTTTATTTACACTAGTCCTGTAGAGTTCCAATGCAGAATCTACGAGTGGCGACTATTTAAAGCAGTAGACCATGTACGCCGTTACCGCTACAGCCTAGCCTCATAGGGGGAGGGGATATTTGCTATGGCTGCCAAACTTAGCCGGCGGATTGGCAGAGGCAGTTTTTAATCTTTACTTTGTGTTGTTATTATTATAAAGATTCTGCTGCTTATCTCTTGACTTGTTTCTCTCTGTCACCTCTGGATAGTCAAGGTCTATATATTTCAGCTTATAAGTGAGTACAAATAGTGTCTGTTCGGAACTGACTTGAAACAGGTTGGATCTAACTGTATATTACAGTAAAGTGATAAATTTGATTTACGCACACAATGTATATTGTACAATAATAGCATTATTCAAACAATTTAATGAAAAAACATAAATATATACGATCAAGCCAAGTAGAATATCACCTTAAGAATTCTGTCATTTAGTCATCATTTATTACCTATGTTCACCATGAGACACTAACCAGGAAGCTACAGTACTATGGTGTCAATAACGCAGCGCTTAAACATACTATTTTATACGAAAATATAGAACGAAGAAAGTTATAATCAATGGTAAAATTTCTTCCGGATCACCTGTACTAATGGGTGTCCCTCAAGGCTCAACTCTCGGCCCGTTCCTAATTCTAGTATCCTATTCTTACATCCAATTCTATATTAATGACTTTCATTCCCTTGTAAAGGATAATCACAATATACTCGTAATATTGTCTGCTGATGATATTTCCTTGATTTTTAAACTTAAACGTTAATCATTTAAATGTAACGAGGTAAATAATACTATATCAATATTAGTGCATTGGTTTTACTTCACAACACCGAATGTTAAAAATCTGAATACCAATGTATTTTTTAAATTTGGTAGAACTGAGCCCTGTTGAATCCATTAATTTTCTTGGCATCACTCTCGACGTAAAGCTACAGTGGGGCTCACATTACATCACATGACATCTACACTAGCGAGGAGACTAAGCTCTGCAACTTATGCCAAAAAAAGATCAGAGGTCTCTTTAATGTCGAAACAGCTAGATTAGTTTATTTCAGTTATTTCCATAGCATATTTTTATGGGAATTTGCTATGAGTAACAGCGGCTGATTTAAAAACTATTTTGCTTTGCAAAAAAGGCCCATAGCTATGGAAAATGTAAGCGGGACATTTACTCGTACCACAGTTGCCACGCTTGACTTGTGCGTTTTGAAATCGCAGTTTTTTACTATTTTTTTGCTGTCGAGATGTTGTTGCCTATAACCTGTTTGTGTCCCTCTGTCAAGTCTGACCACACCCACGGATGATACGGGGTTATAGCCGCTACAAGGCTATAGTACTAACTTTAAAAGTACTATCATACACTTATTTCTCGTGATGAATCTGTCGATTGTTCTCTAGATTCATACTCATTTATATTTCTGTGGTATCTACGCATTTAGTCCATTGTTCTGATCAGCTTGGTCAACTTGTGACTGCTATTAGTATGTACTAAAAGAGTGTTTGTGTGCTGTCGCAGAACTACGCGGGTGCAGACAGCCTGGGCGTGCCGGGCGCGGCACCGCCGCGGCCCTCCAACCCGTTCCTATCGGACACCTCCGCGGCGCCTTCCTACAGATAAGCGCCATAACCTTGCTGATAAATATTTAGACATCTCCTGCCCTTTCGAAAACATTCAAAATCATATGGCCTCATAGCCGCCTTCGACCCCAGGTAGCACAGTTGTCTAAAGGTAAAACAGCGCTCTCTTTTCCAACGTCTGTTACTTATTATATACAGAAACATAGTCTATGTTTGTAGTAGTTGTAACAAATATATTACTATTAGTCTAATCTATCCAAAATGTTAACTATTGATTGTTGCTTTTGTTAAATAATCTATGTTAAGCCTTACCTGTACTTATAGATGATAATTGTAAAGACAATGTTTGTCGATGGAAGCAGTACTCTGTTACTTAGCTCAAATTCTCCGCCGGCAAGTCGTGCATTTGTTGTTGTAAATATACATTTCCGTTGCTTATTATGAGTTTGCAGCTTAATTTTATAGACCAACTTATTATGATTTAAGCATACAGTGAATATTGTGTCACATGCCATCCCACTTTCCCTCCAGTTTTCATTGCATATAGTCAAGAATAAACGATTAAATAGCAGGCAGTTGAGAAAAATGTTTAAATTGTCTTTATAATGTTCTAATATTTAGCAAAAAGCTGAAGCAGTAAATCACTTAAACCCCGAGTTTATATTACAAACATACTTAAATAGATCATATAAAAGCTCTAAGAGCTGTATGATTAAAACGAATTCGTTGATTATTGGTAGGTGTGATTACTAGATTAGCCCATAAAAATGAGGGTAGCGTTCATACTCACTCCCAAAGAATATCTTGTGTTGCATCTGCGCAGTGTAATCTTTCGGTGCTAAACGGACGATTCAACTTCAGAAAGTTCGTCGTACATGCACTATTGCTACTTACTTTTTGTAATTATAAAATGTATTTAAATGGTGTTTGTATGTGAACTTATTGAATATACGGTGTCATATCAAAGTGTGATGAGGTAGATGTATGTATCGGGGCGGGGGACATGCCGCCGCCTTACGCTCGTGTGTCGTTTGCAAAGAGAAAGCCACTCTTGAGAGTCACTCCGACTAGAACTTTACGAGTTATGTAGTCTGTGAATGAATTGCAAGCGTAAGCAGCAGCATGTGGTCTCGCCTCACAATTCTATATTTTTGTTGAATAAGTAGCAGATATTATAAATTTATAGCTATATATTGTATGTATACAAAAATTTGATGTAAAATATGTTCGCGGCGAGGCACAGTTATATATTTTTGCACGGTGTCCGCGGGCGTGATCGCCAGCGGCTCCAACTTCTGATGTAATACATTCAATGTTGACATATTCACTTGTTGTTTTATTGCAAAACCATCTGTTCATCTTACAGGCAAGTGGGTTGGCAACCGCAATTTTTTATTACTTTGAGTTGTTAACATGAAGATGATCAATATCACATGTTTCAATTTCTTCTGTCACCTCTTACGACACTCACGCGACGACATCGGGTAGTGGATATTCTTATACCGCCACTGCACTGTATATTGCAAAACCATCTCAACACAATTAAGGCTCTTATTCCTATAAAAATAAAGGTACAGCGTATATATCTATAATAACCACAGTAATAAGAGATGTACCACAAGGCTCTGTCCTTGGACCAATACTCTTCGTAACCTTCTTGGACGACTTAATAGATTACATCTGCAATCTTATGCCTTACTTATACTTTTGCAGATTATACGAGCGCAGTGCTATCATCGAAAACTGCAGAAGAATTAAAGGACAAGATTATTGTAGCTATGACAACTTTCCAAAAATGGTTCACAGAAAATGGGTTATTGCAAAAACACAACCTAAATTAATGTCGGCACGTTCAAAGTCACGGCTAGAAACAATTATATAACAGAAGTGTATGTAAATGGAGAAATAATGAAAACTATAAGTTCCGTAAAATTTTTAGTAATTCGTCTCGATGATCTGCTATATATCTAAGCTATTATTATGTCCTACAGGTATTTATTGTTGTATCTACCTTGTGTTAAGTTATGTTATACAATCTGACATTTTAAAAGATAAACTTCCTGTGGGTTTCCTGCGCCATTTCTTCTCATAGATGTATGTTCCTTCCGAATCAGTGGTATTTTAGATTGACTTTCAATAAGTTGTACGATGAATTATGAATATTCCTTCCCTCTTGGATTCGATACAGAGAGGACGTGTCCACAGTCATTTAAATATAGATTTTGCCATTTTTCTAATTTTATTTCTTCAGACGTATTTTTAAATAATAATTTCGTAGAAATTATTTTCTGCATATCTATTTTTTTTTCTATAAATTAAATAGTGAAGCTATGCGTAATTAATTTATCTGCTACCAGGAAACTAGGAATGCAAGTATAATACAAAAGTGTCGTACTGCATCTGAACAGAGCGAAGATATTATACTGGTGAGTGAGATAGCATTCTTACCAAGATTTAAACGTCTGTTAAAAGTGTATACAGCTATCTCTTTTTTTGCAATAAATTACCTACTTATCGCTTTAAACGCTTTGCCGTCAGAAAGTCGCATCTTAGACCACAAATAGGACTACACAGTTTTTGTAACTAAATCACCTCTAAGTGATAGAAAACGCTGTATTTGACACAAAGGAGAAAGGAGTTTATTTTATTCTTCATTATGCCAATCAAACGTTCACCTTCCAAAATTCAGTTTTACTGCTCCTCATCATCCCCAGATTTATCAGGGGACAAAAATATAACTATGAGACCTCAGAAGCGGAAGCAAAGCGATGACATGGAGTTTCTTATGCAAAAATTCGAAAGTATTTTTTCTAACTGGACGTCAACCCAGGACGAGAAATACGCAACAATATTAGAAAAAATTAATACAATTAAGGACCAAAACACTCATATTTCGTCCTCCCTCGAGTTTTTGTCTCATCAATATGACAGTTTAAAAGATAAATATATTTTACTTCAAGAGAAAAAAGTGGACAAAATTTATATTGAAAATCTAGAAAATAAAATTGAAATATTGGAGAGAAACAATCGTGCGTCATGCATTGAAATAAGAAATATCCCGAGTATAAAAAAGGAAACAGACCAAGATCTGCAAAATTAGGTAACATTGCTTGCAAATGTGTTAAAAATTAAATTGGAACAAACAGACATACGTAATTATCAAAAAATCTATACGAAAAGTAAGTCCAATAATTCAGTCATAGTAGACTTTTCATCAGTTATGATAAAAAACAAACTTTTAAATTCCTTAAAAATGTTTAAAAAGGAAAACTATTGAAAAGGGCTCAGCACAGAACACCTAAACTGCGAAGGTCCGCGTACACCAATATTTATCACGGACATTTTAACACCTAAAATGAAACGCCTGCATTTTCTTGCAAGAGATTTTGCTGCTAAAAACGAGTACAAGTTTCGTTAGGCCACGCCAGGTACTATATATCTACGAAAGAAAGAAGGCGAATTACTATTTTTCAACAATTATTAAAATAATAAAGACGTATTTACGTACATATAAAAAAGGACATGAAAACTCTTCATATATAAAACTAAAAATGGTATTTTATAAAATATTAAAAAAACTTGTTTGTGAATCCTTTTATCAGTAGCCTAATTTTACTCGTATTTACTGTGATCGATAGAAGACTTAAATGTTATTAATACTATAGATGACTATGAAATAACGAAACTTGAAGCATGCGAACCTGAACATTGCAAAAACCCTAATTTATACCTAAAAATTTTACAACAAAACATTAGGAGTATAAACAAAAATTATAATAATTTTAATGTTTTATTGAGAAGAATAGAATTAACTTGTGATATTATAATTCTCTCTGAATGCTGGCTCTCACGTGTTACTAATTTACCTTATTTGCCAGGGTATTCTACCTTTAGTACTACTTGTAACTACAATCAAAACGACGGTGTAGTCGTTTTGATTAATAATGATCTTGTCTTTAAAATTGAAGAGCCAAACATTTTGGAGGCAAATTGTCTACTTTTAAAAATAAATAAAGACACTGTCATAATTGCCATTTACAGACCCCCCAGTTTTCATAACATTGACAATTTTATTCAGTCTCTGCATAATATACTTGTATAACCACACTGAATACAAAAATATCCTCGTTATAGGGGATATAAATATTGATATTGCAGATTTAAACCAAACAACATCCAGCTATCTCGAAACTTTATCTTTCCTGGGTTTGACCCCTGCTTATTACACACCTACTAGAGGTAATAGTTGTTTAGATCATATCGTATTAAAAACGAAATTAAGTTCATATACTTTTATTTTACAATCTGCCATTACAGACCATGAACCTGTGTTCTTCTGTTTAAAAACAACAAAATGCTGGATGCAATCGAAAATAAAACTTAAACAAAAAATAAATTATGAGACTTTACTTGAAAGCTCCAAAAAGTTTGATTTCAATATAATACTCGTATTTAACAATGATGTGAATCCAAGTGAATCAATTAACTCTATTATTGAAAACTTACAAAAATTAATTTTAAAAAATTCAATTAACATAAAATTACCTAGGAGCAAAATAACATTAAAACCATGGATAACAATAGGATTACTTAGGTGCATAAGAACAAGAGACAGAATGCACTTTAAACTAAAAAAAGACCACCATAACGAGACACTCAGAATCACGTGCTTAAGGTATAGAAACTATTGCAATAACATTCTTAAAAAATGTAAAAGAAATTATGAAAGCAACGAATTAAAAATAGCAGGTAATGATAACAAAAAAATTTGGAAAACTATAAAAAAATTACGGATCTAGACCATCGTAAAAATTTACCGCTGGAACTTCTTAAAGCTAAAATAAGTCCTCTTAAATCTGTAAACGCGGTTAATGAATATTTTGCTAAAATAGGTGCTGAATTAGCCAGTAAAATTCCTCTAAATATTCCCTTACTTCCTCAAAATATAAATAAAAGAACATCAAGCTGTAACTCGTTTGTTCTCCTAAACACTAGTGAAGAGGAAATCGAAAGGCACATTTTAAGCCCTAAATCAGACAG